ATTTGAGTAAGCATGACAGTAAAATCTAAATCTAAATCTCAATCTAAAATCTGATAGTGTTAGATTGGACTGGGGTGGATCTGAAAAGTTGCAGTGCCATGTAGAAGCTGAAATTCTTCTTTCAATAGCAACTTTACTGTGCGACCCACATTTCTTTCCCCATTCTATTGTGGATATCTCAGTGAGCTTGTGACATCTTCAAATCCAGATCCGAATGCAAATTGCCTGAAGCAGTCGTTAGTGAACAGTGGCCTGTTGTCAAAAATAACCAAATTAGGGACATTGTACATTGCAAATAAATCATGTAAAACTTGACTAACTGTATTTTGTCATTGTTGTATACAATTTCTTAACCTCTATCCATTGGGAGAAATGATCGATGACAATGAGTTAAAACTTTCCATCAAAAGCAAATAGATCTGTGTCTATCTGTTCCCATGGTCTGGTAGGGAATGTGAGTTGGTGTCAATAGCTCTTGTTGCTCTGTTCTGTGGATGGCACAGATACCACAATTGGTGAGGAGATCCTCAATGTTCTTGAAGATCCCAGGCCACCACTGATCAAGCTCTGTATTTAGTGATCTACAGTTGTCCTTGCTGCAGCTTCTCAAGAACATCTTCTTGAAGTGAAGATAGAATGAGCAGTAATTTGTCATACACCAGCATGTCATCCACAATTGGACAAGTTGGTGCTCAAAATACGTTCTCATGGCCAGTCCAATGAGCCTTTGGTCTGGCCTATCTGCAGCACAATACAGATGGATGTTGAGACATCCCCCATTCCTCACTAGCCCATGTGGATCTGGTTAGGTAATGATGGCTTGCTGGTAATTGTGTTACCATGGATTGAGCATATGATTCAACATTGTGAAACTCAATTTCTCAGATTTTCCGATCGGGATTGGAACCGTATTTCCTATCCTGATTGGACAAAACATACACTTAGCTTCAGCGGAGCTTTCCCTGCAAATTCCCTGGTCAGCAGCCTTTTCATTCGAAACAGCATATACAAATCCAGGAATCCAGGACTGAGAGGGTCAGCGTGAAAACCGTGCCAACTTGTCAGTGGTATCTGTTGTATTCTGTCATTTAAAGCTCCTGTCGCCGCTATGGGAGATGATAAATGTGTGAGTACGTGTGTATAGTTTTTAGAGGGATAGGATGGCATGTGGTCAGGATGATAGAAGGACGTCGTGAGCAGTTAGAGTGCCAGATTGTAAGAGGATAGGATGCAAGATCAATGAGGTAGGTAGGGTGGGATGTGATATGATGGATAGGAGGTAAGGTGGCAGGTGGGTGAGAAGGTAGGTTTCCAGCTGAGTAAGGGAGTATGGGGCTATATGTGCTGGGGAGGCGAGGGTGTCTGCTAAGTGGATCACTGCTTAGGGTCAGTCAAGGGTTGTATTGCGAAAGGTGCATCTGAGGGTTGTGGATTCATATCCAGGGAGAGAGGATTTCGGGTCCAGAGGAGGTCAGGTCAGTGGGATAGGTTTCAGATCACAGCACTTAGTGCAGAGTTGGGGGCTGGGAGCTGTGATGAGCTGGAGAAGGGTTGTTGAGTTGGGAAATATCAGGAACATCTGGTTCGGGCATTAGTTAAAGAGTGTTTTCATTCTCTAACTTTTCCTGGGTAAATATTAAGTTGGAGTCAATAGGAACCCTCCTAAGCCTCTGATTCTAACTCAAAGGCCAGGGACCTTTATGGAAAGTTCGAGACATTGGGTTATGCCAGGAACGGAATGTCAACCTCCAAAGCAATTCCAGCAGAGTAAGCTGCGATGGGACTTCTACAAGGTCCTGAAACACAAGTCTCATCTTCCCTGCTGGAACAACTATCTTCTAAACCTGGGCCTGTACTATGCCTGGTAAGGCAGTGGGCGAGTGCTCTGGAGAGTGCACCTGTCATTGTTTACCTGCATACATACTCATTCATAGATGCACCTCATAAAACAAAGTCAAAATCTATGTATTCTTGAAGGTATCCTTGATAGTTTCTTCTCATTCAGAGAAACTAGAGGTCTTTCAGCCATTCCTATGACCATTTTCAGGCCAAGGATGTATTCTGAAAATCGCTCCCTGGCCCATGTAACTGAGGAATCATCTTTCTCAATCCCAGTAATATTATGTTTCTGTTTCTGATAATGCTGATATGTATTGGAATGGTTTATGGCACTATCCACATTCCAAGACCACTGCTCTTAAGCTAAAGTAGAGGCTGCTAAAATGGTTGGAACGGGCAGGTTATAGGGTTAAAGCAAGGGTTAGTGAAAGGAAATATGTCTGTGGATGTCAACATAGTCTGGATCCTCTGAAAAGCATTTTCTTGATCCAGGTTCCAATACCATCCATGTGACTTGTTCAGGAGTTGTCCCAAGGGTTCTGTGATCATTGCCAAATGAAACAAAACTCTCGCCAACTGGGTTGTCAAGCCTAAGAATCTTTGGAGTTCCTGGACTGACTTTGGAGTGGGGGACTTCATAATAGCTTTAGTCTTCTGAGGATGTGCCATTATGTCCTCACGATTGACCATGTGTTCCAAAACTGAATAGATTCCTTACACTTGTCATGAAAGGTGATCCCTTCTGCTCGTAATCATTTTAGGACTGCATACACTCTCTGATCATGCTCCTCAAACTTTTCCCAAATGTAATAAGCAATGTTGATAGCTTGTTCAATAGACTGGAATCTATTATTTGCATTGAACTTTGTTCGAATTTTATCTTTGGATATTTAATTAAACTCTCTTCAACTGTATGCATATGGTGAATTTTTCTCACCAATGCCTTGTGAGCTCTGTAAAGTCAACACAAGTTTGAATAATACCATTTGGTTTGGGTAGAGTAACCATGTCAAAACACCACTCTGTTGTTTTTGTGAGTAGGAAAAAGAAGCTCATTCTTGTCATTTCTGCAAACGCCTTATTCACTACCATGTCTACCCGAAATTCCACTTTCAAGAAACTATGAACCTGCACTCCAAGGTCTCTTTGTTCAGCAACGCTCCCCAGGACCTCACCATTAAGTGTGTAAGTCTTGCCCTGATTTTCCTTTGCAAAATGCAGCACCTCATATTTATCTAGATTAAAATCTACCTGCCACTCTTCGGCCACGAGAATGAATCTCCGATGCATATGTAACAATAAACCCTGGTAAAGTTTCCAAAAAGCTTAGTCTGTCTTTTTTCTTGTGGGTTGAGGTGAATTACATACAAAACAACCCCTTTACAACACAGTGAGATAACAATTTCAGAGCCAAAGCAGGCTGCAGACACTATTCATCAAACAGGTTCCTTTCTGTTAGTTCATTCAATTACACTCACCCTTCTACCAATGGATGTCTCAAACAATCTCTTTCACATGCTAAATCAGTTTAAATCAGCTGCCCTGACTGGTTTTAAAAGGAAGAACATGCAGTGCTCCAGGGATAATGTGGCAAAACGGCACTATGTGAATTTCTCATTCGGGCAGCCTGTGTAGACACTACAATTCGAATGGCCTCCATCTGTACTGTAATAATTTTGTGATTTTGAACTTTGGCTCTGTGCGCTGTGAACTGTTGCCATCTCTCAGCCTTATTCCTATACTGAAAAAGAACATCAGCAAGTGGATTTGCCCCAAACATCAGGAAAAGAAATTTCACCAAATGAGTGGGTCCAAAATTGTCCAGTTCTCAAGTTGTTTCCTGCATTCCTGTGGTGATAGCCTTCTTTGTGCATGTGTGTGAGGGAGACAGAGAGAGACATAAAGATTAAATGGAAGGCAAAAGACCAAATTCAATCTGATCAATTGCAGAGTGTGGGAGGTAGCAGCTTAAAGGACACAGTTTTTCCATTTTACGTCAATTACCACTTAGAATTATGAAAATTGTATCTGGATCATATTGACATCATAAGATCTCACTTTACTTTGTCTAAGTGAAGCTCTTAGCTGTTTCTGTAAAGCCCTTGGATACATTTCTGAAATCTAAAGTCAATGGCAGATGGTAGATGGCTGGCTAGTGAAAATGGGTAGCACGTTTGAGCACTTTACTTCCTCTTCTGTGGACCAAAATAGGAGGAGTGTTTACTTGTATGAAAAGCGAGCATTTGGTCTTTTGGGGCTGGGGAGTGAGGGCAATTGAAGTGCAGCAAGAAGAAGGAGCCTGGATTAAAATGAGAAAACCATTGGTTTATTTTTCATTTCTGATTATCCCCAGTTGTCAAATAAGTTTACAGAGAAGAGGGAAATATTAATTATATAAGCAGCCACTTATTAGCTTTGCCAAATGACAGAATGAATTGCTGAAAACTAAACTTTGCAATTAGATGATTTTTGTCTTTTTCGGCAGACAATAATGATACAAGCTTAATTATAAATGAAATGTTTCATTATTCTACTGCTCAGTATTTTATACGTCAGTATTCCAGGCTGTTGATATAATATAGTACAAATCCCATTCCTTCATTCTGTCATCCAGTTTCAATCAGTGCTACAAAAACTGACAACCAATACATTGTAAAAAGTGCTAGTTATATTTCAAATGTCAGTGCCTGCATTAACACATTAACCATTCATCCACGGTTTTTCATTTCCAAGTACCCAGAGTTTATCTTCAATTAGAACTATAGAAATTCAGAAAATAGTAACACTTGATATTTTGCCAGCCTGTCTGAATAAAGCATCGAGTTAAATGCTGACATTTAATATGTGTCATCTGGTATCTGATCAGCAACTTGAGCCTAAAATGGGATTTTTTCTGCATCTGTGAATGAGCGTCTCAAAAATGGGGATTTGGATGTGAATACATTGAGTGTTGGCAGCCTACTTCAAATGGATAAGGGGGATCACTGCAGCAACTATTCTGGCCTAATGCAACCTGAAGACAAGATCAGTTTCAAATCCAGTTTAAAGAATAGGAGTCTAGAACAAATGATACAGGCAATTCACATACCAAATGAATGAGGCCTAATAGATCTGTGTATATGGTGTATATGTTAGCGTGTGTACAATACATGACTTCTTACCGGTTTAGGTCGATATTCTCGAAGGAACGATTTCATGTCTCCTCCTGCCATCAGCTCCAGGAGAATGAAGCGAGGAAGAGCCTGCAGGCTGACTCCAATACATCGCACTATATTTTGATGGCAGAATTTACTGGAATATTTGGAAAAAAGGACACATTTACCATCTCTAAGAACACCATTAATAATTTTGTAATGTGACAATATACAAGAAGATATATGAGGACCAATATCAGAACACCCGGGAGAAATCTGGCGGCTTCTAAGGCAATTGAACCTCATTCTGATTAAATTTTCTTTTTATTGCAAGTGCAGAGATTCCCAGCTTTCTGTGTCAAACAAGATTTAGTGAGAGATGAATTTGGCAAAACTTTAATGGAACAAGGCAATGAATATTCCAGTACTGAAGAATATTGCTGCTCTTCTAAGAATTGGAGAGGTCTGTGGCCTTGAAACTCTATGTCTACTGGTATTGCACTTTTGCTTGCCAATCATCTCCCATGCTGACCACACAATAAATTCTAGGATCTGATCCATTTGAATTAGCATTTTGGAAGTACCACTTGTATGTAACCTTGTAAGCATGTCATGGGGCTAGGGATGTGAAATTTACCCTTCGACAAACTAAAAATGGTTGGTGATTACAAAAGCAGTCCGGCTAAATAAGTAAGTAGGAAAGTGCACAGCGAGGTAAGTCTGGAAGATGTAATGTTTTTAAGTGATCCTCTGATAGTGATTTTTGTTTGCTAACCCCTCAAATAATTGCACTAAACAGAATGGCATATGATTTGGGTGATGTAGCACTGTTTGTACTTTTTTTTTTATTATCATTTCGTCAGATGCATCTATTCCCAAAATTAAAGAACAAAGAACAATACAGCACAGGAACAGGCCCTTTGGCCCTCCAAGCCAGCGCTGAAACATTTTACCCTTCCATAATGAAACTGTATTCACTTACACTTCATCAGATGTGGAGCCGCTGGCTAGGCCAATGTTTATTGTCCATCCCTAACTGCCCTTGAAGATGTGATGTTTGTTGAGTTGCCTTCTTGAACTGTTGCATTCCATCTACTGGCAATACACTTACAGTTGCCTTTTAGGGAGTTCGAGCAGTTTGACAGTGACAGAGCAGCGATATTGTTCCAAATCAGGACAATGTGTGACTTGGATAGAAGTCTGCAAATAGTGGTACCCCATGTGTCTACTGCATTTGTTCCTCTGGCTGGTAGCTATTGTGGGTTTGGAAAGTGGTGTTGAAAAAGCCTTGGTGAGTTGTTGCATCATATCTGTTATATAGTACATTTAGTTGCCACAGTGTGTCAGTGATCTAGGAAGTGATTATTTAAGGTGATGTCAATCAAGTAGACTACTTTATCCCAAATGGTGTTGAGCTTCTTGAGTGTCTGGTGGAATTTATGGTTTCAAAGCTTTTGTCTGCTGGAGGCAGACTGTTATTGGAATGGGAAACTGAGAAAGGAAACTACCCTTCCATTTTCAAAGGAAAATAAGACTGAAACAGAGATGGAGCCTGGAGTGACTGACCCTGGTTGAAACTATGCAAAAGGACATACAGCAATCAAACTTAGATGGTGATTCCAGTGGTGCAGTACATGCAGGCTGAAGAAAATGGGCACCAGATCCAAAACCTGAGAATAGGAAAATACACAGTTGCTACAGCTATTTTTATTACTTGAAGATAACATTTGTGAATCTACACAATCCTGACAATTGTCAGCAAAGTTGAGGAGGTTTTGCAGACTTGTGCCAGTTCTGGTGAAGACTTTATTCACGGAATTAAAGTTAGATGCGCATGCTATTAACTGGGGATCAGGCTAAATGTTAGAGAAAAAAAGATGAAAATCTTACTGAGGAAGACAAATCTTGAAGGATTTTGTGACTGTATTTGATATAATGTTTCTTGAATAGCATGCTGAGCCAATTCATGAGATTTGTCTTAGATTTATCCAGTAGTTGATATGTAAATTACAGTTTATAACTGATCACAATTTGTCTGCTCATTCGTGTTTAATGAATATTGATTCTGGGTTTGACAGTATAAAAGTTTTAGCTATGATACTGCTTAGTGCTGGCTTTGTTGGACTTTCGTATTGTAAAATAATTCTTACTTTAAGCGGTAGTATCTTGTGTCATCATTCTTTCTCTAAATACTTGGGATTTTGGATTTCTTTTTTTTAAAAAGAAGTAACACATCTTGATGAATATCTTAACATGTTTTGTTGTAGCCACAGTTATGATCTTCATGTAGAGTGTTATTATTTAAGGATAAATTCAAAATCCCAAGTGTTTACTGAAAGAATGAAGATTCCTTTCTTAGTGATAAATATTTTACTACAGAAAAGTCAAACAAAGGAAAAGCTATTAACTGAACACTATTTTATGTTATCAATTATTGTTGACAAGTTAAAACTGAAATATTCAACTTTAATTGCCTTCTAGAAAGCTTTTGACTATTTATTGCACCTTTGTAGGTTCCTTCGTTTTCTGGGACAAAACCAAACCAAATCAAACTCTTACAAATTTGTCCTTAGCTTTCACCCGAGGTATGAGCTATCTTTCCAGTAGCTTCCAGTGAGGTGGCCTTACACTGATCTGAAGGTGCCACATTTGGATACTCCTTCTCCAGCATGGGCTTCACTGCATTCAAGCCTACAATCCCACCCCAAAAATACTTCTGAAGAAGGGTCTAGACCTGAAACGTCAGCTTTCCTACTCCTCTGATGCTGCTTGGCCTGCTGTGTTCATCCAGCTCTACACCTTGTTGTCTCAGATTCTCCAGCATTGGCAGTTCCTAGTATCCCTGATTTCTGACAGCCCTTTTAATTCTAGTCAACAGATGCCTTACAGCTGTTAACAAACTCTCTCACTTTCTCCCCACTGCACCTATTCCCAAAATTAAAGAACAAAGAACAATACAGCACAGGAACAGACCCTTCGGCCCTCCAAGCCAGCGCTGAAACATTTTGCCCTTCCATACTAAAACTGTCTTCACTTACAGAATCCATATCCCTCTATTCCCTTCCTATTCATGTATTCATCCAGGTGCTTTTTGAATGCTGCTATTGTGTCTGCTTACACCACCTCCTCTGGAAATGCAGTCCAGGCACTCACCATCCTTTATGTGAAAAACTTGCCTTGTACATTGCTTTTAAACACCTCCCAGCACCTTGAAACTGTGTCCCCTAGCAATTAACTCCTGCACCCTGGGGAAAAAAGCCTCATACTTTCCACTCTTTCCATGCCATTCCCAATCTTTTAAACTTCTATCAGGTTGCCCCTCAACCTCCCGTGTTCCACTGAAAACAAACCCAATCTATCCAACCTTTCTTCATAGCTAAAATCCCCCATACCAGGCAACATCCTGCAAACCATTTTTGTATCCTCTGCAAAGCATCCACAACCTCTGGTAGTGTGGTGACCAGAACTGAATGCAATACTCTGGTTGCGGCTTCACCAGTGCCTTATACAGTTTGAACATTACATCCCTACCTTTGACTATGAATGAGAACATTCCATATGCCTTCTTGTCTACCTGTACTGCTACCTTCAGGGGTTGTGCACTTGCATGCCAAGATCTCTCATTTCATTTACCCCTCTCAGGATATTCCCATTTGTTGTGTATTCCCTTTTGCTGTTTGACCTCCCTAAATGCATTACCTAACACTCATTAGTGTTGAACCTGATCTGCCACGTTCCTGCCCACTCCACCAACCAATCTATATCATTTTGGAGCCTACAGCTATTCTCTACTATCCGCTACACAGCCGATTTTTGTGTCAACTGTATATTCTCCAATTGTGGCCTTCACATTCAACTCCAAATCGTCAGTGTATAAAACAAGCAGCAAGGGTCCCAACACTGAGCCCTGTGGAACACCACATATGGAATGCTCTAAACAGGAACCTATATTAACTAACTTTTGGCATCAAAATCAAAATTGATCTTTGATTAAATTCTGAGACTCACAGGAACAATTTATATCGATAATGGAGTTAGCTGTCTTTTAACCAGACTTGCAGGTCTCACAAAAGGAATTCCTTTATTTACAAACTGCCTACAGCTTCATTTCATCTGGAACCACTAAAATATTTTGAATATTTTAATGAGGTAAGTGTAAAGCACACGACTGTAGCAAAACCTGAGAGATGGGTCCTTCATTACTGAAATTTTCTCCCTACTAACCCTGACATTATTAAATAAATGCTTTGAATTGTGATTACACAATATATTGCTTCGTGGTTGTACAATGGTATTTCAATCACATGTTTTCATTTTACTTTACTTTGTGAGATTGAAAGTATGTTCCTAAAATTACAATGTATACTTCTAAAACCCATGAATTAGGGAATCAGATATCTGCAAACCACACTCATTGAGGCAACAGTCACTACTCCATCTCACTCCTGACTTGTGTCTTAGAATCCCTACAGTTGGAAGCAGGCCATTCAGCCCATACCAACACTCCAAAGAACATCCCACCACCTACCCTGTCTCTGCATTTCCCATCCTAGACGCAATAGGTAATTTAGCACGGCCAATCCACTGAACCTACACATCTTTGGACTGTGGGAAGAAACTGGAGCACATGGAGGAAACCTGCACAGACACAGGGAGAATGTGCAAACTCCACACAGACAGTTGTCCAAGGCTGGAATTGAACCTAGGTCCCTAGCACTGTCAGGTAGCAGTGCTGACCACTGAGCCACTGTGAAGATGGTGGACAGGCTTTGGGAAATTAGAAGGTGCATTACTCACTGCAAAATTTCCAGTGTCTGGCCTGGTCCTGCGACCACAGTATTTATTTGCCTGGTCTATTTTCTGTCAATGTTAACCCCTATAATGTTGATAGTTGGGGGATTCAGTAATGTCAGTGCTATTGAATATGAAAGGGAGATGATGAAATTCTGTTTTTATTGGAGATGGTCACTGTGTTCCATTGTGTGATATGAATTTTGAAGACTCATGATGTTTGGATTATCCAATTGCCACCTCTGGTTGAAGATGATCTAACCTTGCCTTTTGCATTGGTGGTCTAGGCTCCCTTAGCATTGAGGATGGAGTTATCTGTGGAGACAACTCTTCCTGTTAGTTGTTACTTATCATCACAAACCTGAAAGTGGTCCAGGTTTATCTTGCTCTTATTGAGTCAAAGAATTCCTGCAGTGTGGAAAGTGGCCGTTTGCCTCATTGAGTCTGCACCAACCCTACAAAACGCATCCCACCCAGACCCAGCCCTCTACCCTATGCTGATAACTCCACATCTACCATGGCTAATCTACCCAGCTTGCACAGCCTTGGACACTACAGGGAAATTTAGAACAGCCAATTCACCTAACCTGCACATCTTTGGACTGTGGGATGAAACTGGAGCACCCAGAGGAAAACCACACAGACATAGCGAGAATGTGCAAACTCCACACATGCAGTCGCCCGGGGCTGGAATCGAACCCCAGTCCCCGGCGCTGTGAGGCAGCAGTGCTAACCAGTGAGTGATTGAGGCGTAATCCACTTCTGTATCTGAGAAGTAGCAAATGATACTGAACGTTTGGCAATCGTTAGTAAACATCCCCACATCTGACTTAATGATGAAAGGAACGTTATTGCTGTAGCAAATGAAGATGTTTGGACCTAGGTAACAATCGTATGGAACTCCTGCAGTGATATCCTGAGAGTGAGATTATTAGTCTCCAATAGCTACACCTATCTTCATTGATTCTACTAGTGGAGAGTTTTCCTTGATTCCATTGACTTCCATTTTGACCAGATTTCCTTGATGCCACACTCATCCAAATACTGCTTTATATGTATTGATATCAAGGCAAGACACTCCTCTCTTGAGTTTAGCTCTTTAGTCCTTGTTTGGACCAAAGCTGCAATGAAGTCAGGAGCCAAGTTGTCCCAGTAGATCCTAAATTAAGCATCACCGAGCAGGTTACTGCAATATAAATGCTGCTTCATATCATTGTTGATGACACCTTCCATCATTTTGTTGACAATTGAGAATGCACCAAAGGTTGGTGACTGTCAAATAGGATTTGTCTTCCTTTTGTCTTTGGGTTATGGAATGAGCAACTTTCCACCTTGATAGATAGATATCAGTGTCAAAGCTGTATTAAAGAAGCTTGAATGAATGAGGCACAGCTAATTCTGGAGCACGTCTTCGGCACTATTGCCGGGATGTTGTCAGGACCCATAGCCCTTGCAATATCCAGTGCCTTCAGCCATTTTTTGATATCAAATGGAGTGAATTGGTTTGGCTGAAAGTTGGCAGCTGTGCTCTTGGAGACTTCATGCTGCTTGGATCATCCACTTGCCACCTCTGGTTGAAGATAATTTAATTTTGCCTTTTGCATTAGTGTGTGGGCTCCCCCACTATACAAGATGGAGTTATTTGTAGGGACTGCTCTTCCTGTTAGTTGTTTAATTGTCTATCTTCATGCATGGAAGTGATACTACATTGATAGGATATGTTGGTTTTTAGCCCTGCCTAATGGATTCTCTCTTGCTGTTTGATGCACAAGTAGTCAATCCTGAATTGTAACTTCACTAGGTTGAGACCTCATTTTAGATATGCCTAGTGCTGCTCCTGGCATGCCTTCCTGCAATCAGGTTTGATCACCTAGCATGGTGAAATGAAAGAATAGGGGATGTGCCAAGCCATGAGGTTACAGAATGTAGTTGAATTCAATGTGCTGCTGTTGATGACCCATAGCATCTCATAGATGCCCAAATTTGAGATTCACTAAAGCTGTGTATTGAACCCATGGTCTAAATGTTGAATGTGATCAACAATTTTGTTGCCACTTGCAAAATTGTCTGAGAAAATGTTCAGGTAGTCGTTAATCATTGGTGAAGTAGTGAGGGTTTTTGTATGAAGATGCATTACTCACTACAAAAATTCCAGTGTCTAACCTAGGTTTGTAGCTACAGTATTTATATGGCAGGTCAAGTTTCTGTCAATGTTAATTCCTAAGATGTTGATTATTGTGGGGATTCAGCAATGGCAGTGCTGTTGAGTATCAAGGGAGGATGGTTAGATTCTCTTTGTTTGGAGATGGTCATTGCCGTCCACTGTGTGACATGAATGTTACTTGAAATATACCAGCCCAAACCTGAATGTTGTTCAGGTCTTGCTCCATTCCAATCTGGGATGGACAACCAGAAGGCTGGCAGCTGACCAGTCTCAGCAGCACTACTGGGAGTGGGTGGTGACCACTAGAATTGCAGCCAGACCCCATGAGGCTCTATTGTAAGGTGGGAGGGGTGCAGTTTCACCAGGGGTTGGACCTGAACTTTAACACGTGGAGACCCTGCCCCATTCCATACAGCCCATATAGGAGTTTTTTGTTTTTTCTTAAATATACTTTTTGGTGGCCAGGCAGCGTAGATCAGTTGGAGCCTCAAAAAGGCATCCAAAGCTGTAGGGATTGCTAGGCTTGAGTTTATCTACCTTAACCCAACTACCAAAGAAGGGATTTCTTTGCAAACTATTTAAATCACATTAGCTAAGAAGCAGTAACCCCTGAGAGCTGCCAATACCATGGATCATCCTGCCCACTAATGGGGGAACACTTGAATAGTGATGATCGTAGTTTTGTGCTGGGATTGGTTTGAGAATAAAGGGAAGAAAAAAGAAAAGAGGGGAATACAAAGGTAAGTTGTAATTTCTAATGCTGCTTGGCAAGGCACCTTGACAATTTGTTAACAGAATCTTACCTAATTATTAGGGCTTCCATCAAGAAATCCAACTCATCCTGTTCCGAACACACCTCAGGCAATGTCTAAAAAAAAAATCAGAGAAAGTGACCTTTACCAAATGTATTTACCATGCATTTCTCAAAAGGACTTCCTGTCGCAGTGTAATGAGATCACTCGTACATTGGAAAAGTACTGTAAATGCTGGAAATATGAATTAAAAACAGAAAACCCTTGAAACATTCAATAGGTCATTTAGCATCTATGGACAAAAAAACAGGAGTTAGCATTTCAGGTCAATGACTCTTCATCAGATCGGTCACTGAGCTGCTGAGTATCTGTCTTTCTGTCTTTATTTTCAGAGATCACTTCTTGGGCTGCAATGGAGAAGTGAAGTGTATTCCTGTCTGAGCCACTGTGAAGCACAATTAGTTGCCATTTGCACATGTCTTTCATCCATGACAGTCTCCAGTGTTAAAAGCTATTAGAATTATTGCCTTGGGGACAGTGGCACATTGCCATTTAACAACATCTTTTAAACCTTGTTAATTCTAACATAATACCAACTTGTTGCAAGAAATTGTTGACAGTGAAACAGCTTTCTTTTGTTTGATTTACATTAAATGCTAGCTGCTTGTGAATCAAGTGGATTTAGAAACTGGCGTGATCATCTTAATGGATAGTTACAATATCATCTGTAATCCTTCCCTGATGTTGACTGTGATTCATACAAGTTACGCATGTCCATTTTGATATTGCCGATGAGATGGAAATGTGTTGAGGATATTTATGTGATGGTAAGAGACAGAAATCATCCCACAGGGTGGAGCTCTTTACTTACCATAGCATATATAGAACCTTATTAATTAACTAATTGTGTATGGTGGCAGTATTAGAACCTAAATTTTTCTGTTTCCCGTAATCCTGGCTACCCTGATGGAACTGAAGTTTCAGAATGTTTATCCTCTGATCCCAGTTTAACCTCCAGCTAATTTAAATAGTTTTGAAAGACCTCTTGGTCTCAATGAGAGAGAGAGTTCACATGAGAGACATTTTTGAGTGTCCAACCTATTGAGTTGTTGGATGGACAGTCCCAGAATCCATGACTGATTTAATGGCCTTCTGTAATTATAAGATAGCACAACATAATTGTATGCTTTTGGTTGCAGTTGAAACCCCAAGAGAAGTCATGTGGCTTTCGGCCATTTTCTAAGACTCCTTGTGCGGATTCTAATATTGGCCTGAATTATATGGGCCATCACGAGAATTGTGACAGAATTGCGAGAAGGCCAGTGAGGCTGATCTCAATGTTGAGAGCAACTTGCTACATCTTTTGAGCGAGTTCTGGGTGTCGAGGCAAGTTTCTCACAAGGAAACATCAAATTTCCTATTAAGGGGGATTATTGCTTGTTAATTACCTTATTAACTGCAGATCTCACCTCATTAATATGCGGCTTCCCAGTCTACCACCTGCTGCAAGCAATTCTCAACATGGAAGTCAGAGCAGGTACCTGATGACGACAGCTCGCTGACTGCTCCAAAGAGACCCCAGTTTAGGTACCAGGCACCAATATCTTAAGGCACGCTCCATGGGCAGAGACCACATACACCCCACATTGACAGACATTTATATTTGACTGCTTCAGCCTTTAAGAACTATCGTGGCACATCTCTGAGACACATAGAGAAAGCTGTTGTACTTCAGTCCTGCACCTCAGGCTAAACCTGCAGCTATCCTTGTAATGCTACAGCAAGGACACTGTGCTCAGGGACACACTCCCAGTTTATGAGGCTGTCTCTCTGACCTGCTCACTTGCTGCCATAGCACTCACCCAGCCTGAGCCTACCTGGATGCCCACAGCATCCCTGGCCTTGCCTTGACTTTGTGTGCTTCTTGGAGCACTGGTAGATGAGGTTATGCCACAGACCCAGGTAGTCTAATCTGAGCTTGCCATCCAGGTCAGTACCATCTCCAAGGTCTGGAGGAATCGCCAGCTGTTGCATAAGGAGGTTTTAGTGACCTGTTCTGCTGCACCAGGTTAAGTACCACACTCTGCTTTCTGTGACTTCACACTCACTCTATTGCTGATCCCGCATCCACCTTCCACCAAGGCTCATGCTCTACCCATTATCTAATTTATTACTGCCTGTAACATCTTCAGTCACCCATTCTCTGGGCTCCCCCAATCTCCCAAACCATCAACCCCACATGCCCTCTGTGTATCTTACTCAGATGCTCGAGGCACATTTTGCCCACCTTTAACAGGGCCAATAGCTGTGCCAACCACTTCCATCTCATTCAATTTAACACTACATCTCATAACAGGAAAAGACAGCCAATAAGGTGGGAGGGGTGCAGTTTCACCAGGGGTTGGACCTGAACTTTAACACGTGGAGACCCTGCCCCATTCCATACAGCCCATATAGGAGTTTTTTGTTTTTTCTTAAATATACTTTTTGGTGGCCAGGCAGCATAGATCAGTTGGAGCCTCAAAAAGGCATCCAAAGCTGTAGGCATTGCCAGGCTTGAGTTTATCTACCTTAACCCAACTACCAAAGAAGGGATTTCTTTGCAAACTATTTAAATCACATTAGCTAAGAAGCAGGGGAACCTGCCACTTCAGGTGCCCCTTTCTCACAGGGGAGCAATATCGTGCCAGGAGGCACTCAGCTGAAGGACAAACCTCACAAACGGGCTCTTGAGAAATCTCCTCTCAGGACACTTGGCAGCTGGCTGAGCCTGCCACCTCCAGCCTTTGAAGTTCATGCCAAGGAGGGTCAACTTTCATCTGACACAAAGACCCTCAACAAGCCTGGCCTGTCTAGACGTAAGTGGCTCCTAGAATCCCCTGAACAAACCTCCAGAACCAACAGACTACTCTGTGAATCCTGGCTGCAGAACCGTGGAGAACACTGTGATGTAGTATGAGGGAGAAGAAGAAAACTTACTGAGGGCATGTTGGTGGCACAGGTGACAAGCACTGTTTTGCAGTACTTTTATAAATGACATTGCTTTGACCCTTCATCTGGTTGTTTGTCTCTCTGTGTAGCCCCAAATGTAATTGTCCTAGCATGGAGCACAACATCATGGCCACACAGTGTACCACAGATTAATATCTGCAGTGAGAACCTGCAACATCTGATGGCAAGAGAAACAAGATGTATAAGTGGGTATTGAATGCTGGTGACACTTCTGGTCCAGGTCCTAGAACATCTCTATTCATTGCAGCCTCTGTGTCCAAAAGTATTGAGGAGATGCTCCCAGTGTTGAGATTTGCTTCGCTGGACTTCTCATCTAATTCTGCTGCAAATTCTGGTTCATGGTGTCAGTGGAGGTGATGGCCCAGTTGTATTATCGCTAGGCTATTAATCCAGAAACTCAGTTAATGTTCGAGGACCTAGGTTCAAATCCCATCACAGCAGATTAACTGTGAATTCAATAAAGAATATCTGGAATTAAGAATCTACTGATTGTCAGGAAAAACCCACCTGCTTCACTAATGTCCTTCAGGAAATGAAATCTGCCACCCTCACCTAGTCTGGCCTATATGTGACTCCAGACCCACAGCAATGTGACTGGCTCTCAACTGCCCTCTGAAATGGTCTAGCAAGCCACTCAGTTGTACTAATCACTACAAAGTCTCAACAAAGAAATGAAACTGGACAGACCACCTGGCATTGACTCAGGCACCAGAAAAGACAATGACAGAAACAGCCCTTTGACACTGCAAAGTTGTCCTTACTAACAGTGGGGAGCTTGTGCCAAAATTGGGACAGCTGCCTCACGGACTATTCAAGCAACAAGCTGACATAGTCGTACTCATGGAATCATAACTTGCAGACAATGTCCCAGAAATCACCATCACCATCTCTTGTGCCCTGCCCACCATCAGACAGACCCAGCAGAGGTGGTGGCACAGCGGTATAAGGTAGGGAGGGGATGTCCACAACATTTACTCTGGATCCCATGAAGTCTCATGGCTTCAGATTAAACATGGGCAAGGAAACCTCCTGCTGATTACCATGTACCGTCCTCCCTCAGTTGATGAATAAGCATTCCTCCACGTTGAACAACATTTGGAGGAAGCACTCAGTAAGGCAAGGGCACAAAATATACTCTGGGAGGGGGATTTCAGCTCAGCAGCAGCACTGATTGAGCCTGGTCGGCTCCTAAAGGGCATGGCTGCTGGACTGGGTCTGCAACAGGTGGTGAGGGAACCAACAAGAGGGAAAAACATACTTGACCTCATCCTTACCAATCTGCCAGCTGCAGATGCATCTGTCCATGACAGTATCGGTAAGAGTGACCACAGCACAGTTCTTGTGGAGATGAAGTCCCACCTTCACATTGAGAATAACCTCCACTGTGTGGCACTATCACCATGCTAAATGGAACAGACTTCAAAGAGATCTAGCAACTCAAGACTGGGCATCCATGAGGCACCGTGGGCCATCAACAGCAGCAGAATTGTACTCTAGCATAGTCTGCAACCTCATGGCCTGGCATATCTCCTAAGTCACAGGATCAACCCTGGTTCAGTCGAGAGTGCAAGAGGGCATGCCAGGAGCAGCACCAGGCATATCTGGTAAAGCCACCAACGTGCATGCCAAACAGCATAAGCAACAAGTGATAGGCAGTGCTGAGCGCTCCCACAACCAATGGATCAGATCAAAGATCTGCAGTATTGCCACTTCCAGTCATGAATGGAGGTGGACAATTAAACAACTTACTGGAAGAGGAGGCTCCACAAATATCCTCATCCTCAGTGACGGAAGAGCCCAGCACATCAGTGCAAAAGATAAGGCTGAAGCATTCGCAACAATCTTCAGCCAGGAGTGCTGAGTGGATGATCCATCTTGGCTTCCACCAGCAGTCCCCAGCATTACAGATAACAGTCTTCAGCCAATTCAATTCACTCCACGTGATATCAAGAAATGGTTGGAGACACTGAATAGTGTAAAGGCAATGGGCCCTGAAAACATTCTGGCAATTGCACTGAAAACTTGTGCTCCCGAACTTGCCACTCCTTGAGTCAAACTCTTCCAGTATAGCTACAACATTGGCATCTACCCGACAATGTGGAAA